TAGAGTGACAACCAGCATATAGCAAAAAATCTAATCAATGTTCGTAACCTGAACAGACCAGTCCCCACAAGCAGCACCCTTTCATGAGTATGACGGCTGAGCCAGCCATCATTCATGAACCCAACGTATTTTGTAACCATATTCTTTACAGATTAGCAGGTGACATAGAAAGGTTGAATGGATTTCAACTACTGGTGAATTTCTTCAACAGCTCTATTCTTCTATGTTTCTGTGGTTTTTGTTGTGTGGTTAGTATCTAATTACATAAAAACGAGTAAATACAGCCCAATTTCTAAAAGATCGTAGCATCCACTAATTCAATATGCATGAGAAATAAGATGTTATGCCTCTTATTCTATAAGTACACTCGCTAAGGATAGATAGATCTCTTTAAATCAAAACATAGCTTACAAAGCAAGTTGCTTGACTGAAATAGGTAAGACCTATGCACCTAAGGTACCTCCGCAGACATTTTGAAGTGGTCCGTAAAATGTTATTTACTTACTAAGATATATTTATAAGCGTAGATACTAAAATCGTGACTACCTGCTCTCAATCTAAGATCGATAATTTTTAATATCTAGAATCCGAATAGTAAGATCACAGATAACATAATATAGGTAAGATTATTTTCAACTATTGCCGAAGAATAAAAAAAATGTTGTAAAGTAATGAATATTGATTTTTTTAATTGCAGATACTTGAAAAGTTAACGGATTTAATATATAAAATATTCCTAACAGCTATCTTGTTGCAAACTTGGCTGCTGTGTTGGTACGGACATCGACTCTTGGAATCTGTAAGTTTTTCTTTATTTAATTGGAATGGAAAAGAAACTGTCGACTATCTGTAAGTTAGTTATAGTCACTTATACATAAATGTGTAGTCGTAGTAGTTTTTTAATCCCGGAGACTAAATTGCCAGCAGCAAATAATGTTACCACCTACAGCGGGGTAGCTGTACCTGCGACACCGATTTGTTTTACATGACCCTTTTAGAGTTTTACATCACATTTTCACAACCAATTTTCTAAATTTACGTACATATACTAGTGTTTCCATTATTGTTGTAGTATTAAACAACACAAAAATACATTCTTGAGGTTTTCCGTACATACCTATACAATTTTTTACAGTATTAAGCTACAAGCCATAATTTTTTTCTTTCAAACAGCTTAATATTTAAAATAGGTGTATGTTTCATATAAGAATTATAATATATAACACCATACGAAGGTCATTCTTTTATAAAAAGCAGTTAGTATTTATTTTAGTGAAAAATAATAAATCTATTTTGATACAGACACGCTATATTTATTAATACCTATTACCTATACCTACTTATTCATTTTGTGACAATACGTTTTAAACAAACACCCACTCATTATTTCTGAGTAACCTATAAAAATGGGTAATTAAGATTAATTCCCGACAGTGTCACATCCCTATTTAAAAATTGCAATAACATCGGTAATGTCTTTGTATCCGGGATTAAAAAACATGCTATAGTACATGTACAGCGACGGTCATCAACTGGAAATCAGTGTTGGGACAGCCAATGAAAATTAATGTTTTACTCGTTGAACAAATTAATCATTGAGTAGCAACCCATTTATATCCCTGTGGCAAATAATTTGTTTGTATTTAATGTTTGCATTTTAGGTGTATTGTGTTATTTGTAATATTATTATACTTATTTGTTTATAGTATAAATAGTGTCACAGTTGACATGATTAAAGATTTTATCTATCTAAGTATCACATCACGTAATCATGTGACACCTGCGATATGACTAACGCGATGTCATTCCAGAGGACTCATATGTTATGTCTCCGTACCCTGTTGTTAGCTGATATAGGTGACACAGAAGTCCACGCAGACAACTTTGTACAAAGTCGACATCTGATGAAGTTGATCCGTCATTTCCTACCTCACTTAACATCACATCATTGTAGTACTAGTAGAAATACCAGTACTACAATGATTGTAGTACTAGTAGAAATACCAGTACTACAATGATGTGATGTTCAGTGAGTTTTAATGTATTCTAATGGAATTTCCCGCTCCCGCGCCAACTCTAAAAGACCATGAGGTTAGCTCAGTTGGCTCACCGTGACAAATTTACCAGGAATTTATACAGGAGGAACCGCATTGAGATCAACCTGACATGGTACATTGTTGGCAATGGGATTATTAGTCCACATTACTAACAATTCCCACCCCCCTGTAGTACTTATTAGTAATCATTTTATATGTTTATTGAAGTCTACTCGGGACGGAATACTCTCAGTACTGGGACTGATATAAACTCTGCAGCAGTTTAAGCTTCGTGTGAAACTAAAATAACTATACAATTTTATTCCCTTACTGACAATTTGCGAGACTCTGAAATGAGTCGTAATTTATTCTTCTGTAGTGAACACAAATGTATTATTTTGGTCTTTACTTTTATATAACAATAAGATTAAATGAGAACTATATTAACAATTCAAAAGTAGGTACCTATACCTATAGTACTAGTAGTATAGTACTTCAACATAGTTAATATTCAGTTTTATTTATTCACTATTATGTGCAATAAGTACTAATCCAACTACAAATCTAACAATATAAATCTAAAACTATGTCTGTCTCTATATCTGTCTGTTTGTATGTCACCTTTTCACGGCTGAACTACTAAATGATTTTAATTAAATCTAGAAATCTAGATATCTCTGGTATCTTGTTATCTAGAAAACAGGGTATAAAAGTTTCCGCAGACAAAGTTTCGAATAACAGTTACTTTAGTTCAATTTATTTATGCATAACTTTGTTGTCAGAGTATGGGCGTATCGCATGCTTTATACAACAGCGGCTGGTACACTACTTCCAACAGAATCCGAAAACTCGTTATAATTATGATATGCAGGTGGGTAAACACATCGTCTTATCTTATTCATAACAACGCGAAACCTCTGATCAAGCTATTTTTGCCATTGCACTGCTTTATTTTAATTTTCATACCTAAGAAAATTTATAAATAAATAATATATTTAATCGCCTTTTCACAAAAATGATTGCAAGTTGATGGAAACCACTAAACAAATAACCACTATGTTTAATAAAAATATTTATGTTGACTGTCTCGCAGAATACAATTTATTTCATATGTATTCACGGACGTTCTAATATAAAAAATAAAATGAATGTAGCTTTCTATAACTGAACTAAGTATTTGTTAATCGATCAATGCCATTTTAAAATAAATAATACCTACCCTCAATAAAATATATTCTTTTAATATTCTATGAAATATATCTATAGGCAGTCTATATTATTCTTGTATTGATACTTATATAATATAACATTTGTAAATACCAGTAGATAAATATAGACTTTTAGTGGTCTATATACCTATATACGCAAATAGCAGTTTATTACTGCTATTTGCGTATATAGGAGATACGCAAATAGCAGTAATAAAGTAGGTACTAACCAAAAGTTCAGTAGCTACTTATCGTTTAAGTAAATTTTTTTATATTCCATATATTTTTCAGAGCACAAAAGGCTGTTTGTGTGACTACATATGGATTCTCCGTCATTTCTTTAGCAAGTTATACCACAGTAAGTATTTCATTATGGTAATAAAATGAAGACTGATAAGTCATAGTAATTTAGGTATGAAATTCACTCACAAATTATGCTTCATTCATTTTCTTTGATGTTAAGACTAATTCAAGTATAATTATTTTGTTACAGATTATAAAAACTGCATGGTCTTACTTTACTTTACTACTTAATATTTATAAGAAGTAGAATATTATGACTATAAGTAGGTACACAAAATTCTAATCTTTATATAATTAAACTAGCTTTTGCCCGCGGCTTAGTTCGCGTTAATTTATCACATTACGGGTGGAATATATCAAAATCCTTTCTTAGTGGATGCCTACGTCATAACATCTACTTGCATGCCAAATTTCAGCCCGATCCGTCCAGTGGTTTGGGCCGTGCGTTGATAGATCACTATGTCAGTCACGTTTGAGTTATATATATTTAGATAAAAGTATAGGTATCACAAAGTGAAATTATCTGTATATGTGTTAACGATTTACGTAGAGTATACGTACAAGACGTATATGTACCTACCTTTATGTATATTATTAAATATAGTTGAACTTATTAAAGAAAGCTAAGTAGCTCTGAGTATTTTTTTTTTGGATACGCCGTTTTCAGATTTCTAGCAATGTACCCTGTAAGGTCGACCTCCACGCGGTTTCCCCTGGAAACCACCGTAGTTAATTCCTGGTTATTTAATCACGCTGAGCAAACTGACCTGTCCTCAAGCTCATCCTATCATCCTCCACTAGTGTCCCGCCGGTATAAATTGTTAGCGCAGGCATACGCCATTCCATTATCATCCATGAAATAAGTAAATTTTATGTAAAATAAAAAAAAACTAAGATTGTAATGAGTTTGTGTGGATTGATTGCTCACTATATGGCCCTTAGTGCTGCTAATTTTGACAAACACAACAACTGAACACTTTAATAATAAAATCTATTAAAATATACAAAGGAGAGAGTTAATTATTTGTTTATTTGCAATGTTGAATAGGCTCCAAAAGTACTGGACCGATTTGAAAAAATCATTTTTTTAATTTACTACCAGAATCCTACTTTATCAAATAATAAAAAACCACTACAACAACAACATGCAAATATCATTTTGCGCGATCGTATGTGCGAGGGTGCGTGCGCGTTGTGTTTTGTCTGTGTGTGTGTGTGTGTGTGGGTGTGTAAATGTATGTTAAAATTTATAATTTTTATTAATTACTCGTTCGAAGTCGTTAGGTAGGCAGGGTAGATCGTTAATGAAAGTTATAAATCTGTTAGAAGAGTCAACTTAAATTTCGAAGGTTTATTGTTGCTACTTCTATATAAGATGTAAGTTCTAGTTGTGTCTGTGATGTGTGACTACTCAGTTTTCGTTGTTAAATGCTGTCAATGTCAAACTGTCAAGTTGTCATTAACTTTATTGTCTATCAAATTATCATATTTTTTGTAAAGTTTTAATACGTCTTTAATATTTATTGACTAGTTTGTTAAAATGTCTAATAAAAAGAATAAAGAAATTATTAATCAAGACAGTGATAGTGAAGAAGATCAGGATTCCGGCAGCGAAAAAGATTCCGACTTTGACTCAGATGGTAACTTCGTTGGAGACAAAGTAAGTATATCATAACCTAAAACCACATGGCTTTAAACAACAATATTATATTATTATCAAATTATATTGGTTTAATAATCTTAAAAACAAGACATTTTGTAATAAAATTAATTCTCTGATTTCATTATAGTTATTAATATTAACTGAAAATGTTCAGATATAAATCCGGCGTAATTTCGTAATAATATGTAATTATGTACACCGCTAATATGTAAAGTTTATACAACTTGTAACCTATCAATATACCTATAAATACTACAATTTACAAAATAGTACACTGTTCTTATAATGTGATATACTGTGTTATACTTTTCTCTTTATTAAATACTACTGGCCCTCCAGTCATCGTCTCTCTGCTCATAATTTTGTGAGTATCGTATAAATTAATATAAGATTTAGTCTATCATTGGATGGAAACCAATATACCTGTTAAATTGTGAAAAACATCTGAAATGGGTGCACTGGTTTAGTTTCTTTACAACAAATTTATTAATACACAATAAACATATATTTCTTATTTTCATGTGCCATAATAATCCTAAATGCTTAGTAACTATCTTTAAAAAGATCATTGATTTCCTCTGTAGCCTAGGTGATTGAGGTTCTGGCATGGTGCAAACATTTGTATTCATCAGTTGTAGTAGTTTGTTTGAGTGTTTTCTATGTATTTACAAAAAAATATTTCCAAATTTATATCTGTTGTAATATTCCCATAACACCAGCTCTTTAACTAGGTTATGTAAATTGTCCAGGGGAAAACAAAAACAAATACATCTATGTAATGATGATGTCTATAATTATTAAAGACAACAAATATTCACATTTATAACATTTAATGCTTCTGCATTTTTAACATTTGTATTTTTACATCACTAATAACTAGATTCCTATTCATAGAATGTTATCTCATGTTATAGGAGCTCCAAGCTGACTTTGAGGGTAGAAACCCTGAGGACTGTGATTTCCATGGTATTAAACAACTATTACGTCAATTGTTTCTAAAGTCCAATGTTGACATAGGAGGTCTTTCTGAAATTATAATTTGTAAGTAATTATTTATATTTTAAATTAACTTTGTCAAACATGTAATAATTCAGGATTCAGTTGCACAAACAAATGTCTATAAAATCTGTCTTCAACAATACACTTTTTAATATTGTCATCTTAGACCGTCTAAGCATATAGTGATATGGGCATAAATTAAAACAAAAATAAAACTATTAGCTGCATATCTCTACAAGGTTTGAACTTAGCCTTTTATCTCTTGGGCACCTTAATTAGTTATTACTTTCCATATTCAGCATCTGTTTAAATACATGTATTTTCTTATGGTTGTTATGTATCAAATTTAATTAATTCAACTTCTATTCTAGTATGATTATGTTAAAGATGGTAGAAAAGTAATAATATTACTAGTCTAGCATGAGATACTAAGGATCATATCTTTACTTTCCTTCCTTTTCAGTTGAAAAAGATATGCTTAAATATTAATTATATGCATGTATTATTATAACTATACATACTGATGGAATCATATCATTTTAGCACAAAACTATGTGGGGAGTGTAGTTAAACAATGTTTGGACAATGAACCCGAAAATGATGATGATGATGATGATGATGATGGAAGTGATGGTGTCTTTGGAATCACTACTGTTATAAATATTACAAAAAGAAAGGTAAGTGATAAATATTGTAACCACCTAAACATACAAAAATTATCATTTATAGCATTACATATAAAAGTGACAGTTTTCAAGTTTAAAAAGGTTTGTATCTTTTGCAACATTTGTACCCTACACCAAACAATATAAAATTTCACATCTAACAATAATTCCACAATGTTCTCATCTCCATTCTAAAATGTTCATAATGTAATAATGTTACAGCAAATGAATAAACAAATACAATTACCACTCAAACCAAATGGCAATGAATTCTTATACTTAGCCCACAATATATTCTTGTATGTTACAAAATGTAACTTCAATATTCAGTATGTTATGTGCTTGAAGTGCTGAATAAATTCATATAACCAGGATACTGTAATAAATCGTAATAAGTACTCAGGTACTTCAAGTTCAATTAGTCTTACATATTTCAGTGCCTAAAAATAATATATAAAGTATGGCAAATCTAGATTAACACAGAAGTTTTAATTTGAAATATCACAGTTTGTTCTGCAACATACAGTTAGTATTTGAAATAATAACTTTATTTCAGGATACACCCTGCATACAACAAATAAGAACACTTTTAACAACACTAGCTGAAGACAATGCTGATAACAAAACAAAGGCTCTCGTACAAAAGTTATTGGGTGATGATTCTCAACATGTAGGATTTGTCATTAATGAGAGGTATGTAAACAATCATTCCATGATTGTTTTGTTTGTTTGTAATACTTCATGTGTTTATAAAAAACACTAACTATGAAAACATACAATAAGAAATAAATTGTACAATTGCAGACTTATGCCAAATAAGGCATTTCTCCCAGCCAACCTAGCCTTAATACTAGTATTTCCACAATGTTGCTTGCATCTCTGTTTCATATATTTTTAAAAAGTTAAAGGATAGAACATAAAAAAAAATTATAAACAGAAATAGTGATTTTTTCTAATAAATAAGAACCTGTTGAGATGTGAAAAATTATGAAACCCAAATACTTTGTTTTTGTTTTATGGTAAGAGTTGTTTTATAAAAAGGAAATTCATTAGTGTTCTAAGAGATTACTTGAAAAGACTAGTTGAATCTAGCTTCAATGGATTAAGGATTTTTCATACACAATTTTTTTATTTGACTACTATTAATTGCATTTATGTTAAATGAACTTCAATGTGATATTTTTTCAGAATTTTAAACATTCCTGCAGCCATCAGTGTGCCACTATTTTCGTCGCTACAGACTGAAGTTGATAAAGCTATTAGAAAGAACATGCCATACACATTCCAATATTTAGTGTGGATTTGCAAAACATACAATAATGGAGGTTTGTAACATTTTAACTGTGAACATCAGAAGGCATTATTATTTCTTTAAATATAATACAATGAAAATGCATGCTGTGTTTACATAATTATTTAGCTAGTATATGAAATGTTTGTTTTTCAAGTAAAACCTTTCTCTTATAATATTATAATCAGATAAACTATGTGTACTATTAAGTGACAAATAAAAGTTTAGATTTCTTAATATTTGATAGAATGTTAAGTTGTATGGCTGGGTTAGTACTTTATGATTACCTATTTATAAGTTAGAATTGAGTACAGCTATTAACAGCGACTTCAGCTTTCAGTGGGATGACCTATGTCTGTTCTCGTGATAGAATATTCTAATGTAGAATTTCATTAAGAACCGTTCCGCCATTTCTGTCGTCAGTCAGACTGACACACTTACACACTATATTATTAAAGTCGATAACATAAATCTTCAGATGAAGCTTCGGAAATATTATACGCAAATCAGGAAGAGAGGCCCCTAGCTGATGAAGCGCTGGCTAGTTTCGATGTCGATGTCACGGAACAGGCTGATCTCTCGCAGTGGGACTATGAGGGAGGCGCTCTCACACCATGTAGAAAGGTAATCCCATTATATAATATTCATACATTAATTCATACTTCTGATATATTCGTTCATTTTATTTTCACATGACTCCATAGTAAAACTTTTAAAATTTTATGCCTCAGGTAATGCTCACAAATCTACAAACATTTAGTCAACTCACAATTACTCTCCTATCGTAGGCGTCACGGCATACGTTTCAAAAGTCAGGATGGGGGACATAAAATTCTGTCCTGAAGTTGATACAAATTCTATTATACAAAAGATTTTTATATATATAATAAAATAGTAAATGTAATCCATAAATAAATATTCTGTAATAATATAATAATATACAACTTGTGTAATTGTATTTTCAGGTCCTGATTTTCGAAGGCAACAAATTGAATACTTTAATAAGACTTATTAAAGAGGAAGTTGAGAATGCTTAAAACCATCTCGTTACATCGACATTACCTATTTAACATGTACGCCATTTATAATATTTATATGTTATTATTACTAGTTAAGTATATTATAAGCTTTATTACTTTTAAGTGTTTTTTTAATTCACCAAATTAAAACTCCAACTCATACTAAACATATTTATTTCGCTTACTTACCACAGAGGTAAAAAAAAATTGTCACATCAATTACACAAACATACAATTTAATTATTAACTATTTATAACTGGTTTACACTCTCACGTTATGTAGTTTGATCTAATATTTTTATGATTTTGCATCCTTCAAAAAAGGCTTCAGTTTTAAGAAATTAGTATAAACTTTTAAGTGTAATAATCAGATAGAGAATAACGAAATTATATAATAAACATTTAAAAATAATCATTACAATATGAATATAATCATCAAAACTGATGCGTTACATACAAAATACAGTCACTGAAACTGTTAAATTAAAAAATATTGCTTTCAAATAGCATATCATTATTCCTGGACTAATATTCTGATTCCTTTATGATTTTCACAATTAATAAATTGTGAGTCATGTTATCGATTGTGCTCTAGTTATATTAAGAATTAGTATTCTTATAGAGGCAGAGTGCATCCTTCATCATGAAATCTCTCAATGCGCACAGTCCTTTTAAAATTTTCGTGCTTTGATCCATCTTCTGTATGTCAGTTTCTGATAGGTTTTTGTCCTGAGCCAGATATCCATTGACAGCTTCCTCTGTCATCCAGTTGGGAAGTTTGTGCATGTTAAACTGCGCTGGGTCGGGATTGGCAGGCATTGGAGTGAGGGATTTTTCCCAGGGAGTGATATATTTCTGTTCAGAATGAAGACCTTCAATGTATCTGTTTTAAAAATAACATCTCGATTAATTTTAGAAAATGTTCCTATTTGGGTCATTATGCAACATGCATCTTTTTTAGTATAGATCTCTTTATGTAATTGAAATGGTAAATGAACCAACGGAAATCTAATGGGAACCGGCGCTTATTTATCTGAACAGCACTCTCAGACATCACGTTGTCATGTTGTTACACTCATGGTCTTTTATTTCTAAGGACCAAGATACTATGACCCTGTACCCTGTAATTTAACCGTATTATGACCCTTTAAACCGAAACACAGCTTATACAATCTGTTATTAACAACTTTTTCGAAATCAACCTTGGTAGAAAATTAAAGTTTATAATGATTGGATTTTTTATATATCATCATTAAATGACTGAAAATATCTAATTATTTCTATTTATACCTTATAAAATGTGTACAATTGGCGAGCCTAATGTCATAGCATTCTCTGCAACTAACCATGAGTAAAAACAAATTAGTTTGGACTGATGTGAATTAAGTGCGTGCTCTGACCGGACTGCGCTATAAGCCTCGTAGTGTGTGACTCGTTGCGGGCTATTTTAGATTTTCCATGGTTATGACTAGTAGTTCCTTTAATCATAAGTTTCGAGTGACGTCCGTGCGTAATAATAAACAAATAAGTGCGTGTACTGACCGGATGTAGGCCTCCGAGTGCGTGACTCGCTGCGCGCGCGGCGGCGCCGACACGAACAGCGGGTCGAGCCCGGCGCGGCCGCCGTCGGGGGCGGCGCCCGGCGCCGCGCCGGCGCCCGGCGACGGAGTGTTGCGCGCCATCGGCGACATGCCCGACAGCGACGCTGAAACACGTTTGGACACACTTTTTTATACGTATACTAACTGTGCCTGCGTTTTCACCCGCGTTAAATTTGAATAAAAAATATAGCCTATATATTATTCTGATACATAAGCTATATTACTGTAGTTTCATCAAAATCAGTTCAATAGTTTTTGCGTGAAAGAGTAACAAACATTCATACTTACAAGCTTTCGTCATTTATAATATTATTAGGATATATTTTTGTAATAAATAATAGTATGGTGCATCCGCCTGCGCGACTTATCACGATGGTATTCAGGGGGAACTGCGCGGAGGTCAACTTGACATAGTTCATTGCTAGCAAACTACTTATTAATCCACCTAACTAACACTGCCCTTCAACCGCTTATAGACATATTAAAGGTACGGTCCTGGTCTGTCTTCTATTTGTCTGCAATGCATTTGTGCGACAATATAGAGACACTGATGATGGTAGGGAAGATAGAAGTTAAAAGAAAAAGACCTCGAGCCAAAGTCCCACTTGATCAGACCAGATATCCAGTTAGCTAATTATAACTGTCAGCTCCGCACTACACTACGCGTCTGGGCGCAATCGATGGCGACAGCTAGTCGACAAGATCGTGTAGAGTCGCGGACACGACCACGAAGATAAGAGAACGGTACAGTGCTTCCGCCTGCGGTAATGGTATACGCTGGTGAGCCACCAGTGGAAGGTGGTAGGATGAGCTTGAAATCACGTCAGACGGCCTATCGTAGCGGATTCATCAGAACATTTATGTAATAGAAATCACTATGTATTCTCAGGCTTCTGACGTGCCTTAGCACATAATAGTTTCGAAAAACCTAGTTAAATTGATAGTATGTTATCAGTTACCTCCAGGCGACATAACGCCACTCCGGATGCCGGCTGCAGCCTTCGCAGCTTTCTTTGTAGACGGGAGGAAGTTCCTAAAACAAGATGTATATCAGTAAATACAAACAACATTATAGTACATCATAAAACTTCAAGACTGTATACCTATATGTAAAACAAAATACGTATCTTGTGAGGAGTAAACAAAGATTATTATTATTAATGAACTTAAAAATAAATAACCTGGAGCGCTCGTGCACGACCATGATGCGGCCGTTGCCCTTGTTGACGTGGAGGTCGCGCACGTGTCGCAGCAGGCGCGGCAGGTTGGGGAAGGGCGCCTGTCCCTTGCGCACGCGCGCGCAGTTCCGCCACAGGCACGGGTACTCGGCGTGCGAGCCGCGGTAGTGCTGCTGCAGGTGGCCCGCTGCCGCCACGCATGTTAACACGCACAACACACCGGTCACATTGTGTCACATGTACATACGCACATACATTCATTCTTTGACAAGAGAACCTCAGTAACGATCAAATATAAAACTAACGAAAATTGGTCGAATCAGACTATCGGTCGACCAGTAGGTATAAATTGCGTATTTTCTTTACATATCCTTTATTGCACAAATTATAAAAAAATTAAAACGTTATATACTACAAAAAAAGAGATATATTGGCTACGTCATTTCCTTTGGGTAGAAGGCTGTGTGAAATATATTGAATCATACCTATGATCATGTTTACATTAGTTGTACTTTAAAGAACTATGTTTGATTCCTATATTATCATACTTACGCTCTAGTTTAGGCTTCTTCGTTTCAATATATGTTCCAATCACTTGCAGCGTTAAAAGACAATGAAAATATAGTTATTGTATACAAATACAAAATAAGAATAAAACTAACGTATTTTTTTGTATCTACATACTCAGAAATTGAGTTGGTTTTTTCTTTAATTCATATTTTATATATTTGTTTATTTATTTAAAATTTAATGCACAAGTACAATATATTAATGTACATATGGCGATCTTAACACCTAAGGCCGTTCTCTGCCAGGGCCCATAAACTGAGAAATTAGTGCATTACAGACATCACCTACGTGGAAACTTTATGTAATAATAATCTTTATCAATTCTTTCGTCCTTTTTTAACCATATAGTTTAAGTTTTAAATTATTTTTTCTGTGTCCATCTTGCAATCAGTCGAAGATTATGAGCAAAAGTTATACTTAATAGAATATTGACGCTAGTAATATTTTAGAAGTAAAAAAAAGCGTTCTAAAAAAATTTTGATCAATATTGATAAAGTTATTTTACAGTTCACATCAGCAATTTAAATAGAAACAAGATATATTTTAAAATAGATATATAGTAACTAAAATAGATATATAGTAACTAAAATAGATATTTACTATTGCCTCCATCACCAATACAATGCTCCATACAGTCTTGTAGATCTTCGAACTGATAATCGCAGGTGTCCCATGCACATTCGTACGTCATTTCCATGGGCGTCTGTAAAAAAACAATCATTTGTTTCCATTTAATATAATCAATGTAATTTTGATGCATCTACCATAAGTAATAAAACATGTATATAATTGTAGGAGTCAATTAAGATGCTATAATTTTTTGAGATTATCAACTACAAAAAAATAAAATTCGCTCATATTTCCTCTTTATAAAATTAGTTTAGACATATATAACAAGCATATTAATATTTTGATTCATCACTGAGAGTACACACACCTGAAAACATAGTAACATCATAATAACAAAATAAAATATAAACTTTAAAAATATTCTCTATCCCAATTCTACCTTTTCAATAATTTATCCCATCCGAAAAACTCCAGCTAAAAATCTGCCACCCCAATGTAGTATGCTATATCTTATGATCCAAAACTTGCCAATTATTTGTGACCTCTATACTCAATCTTTTTCAAACTGCAAAAAGTGAATGAACAATAATATTCCCACTATGATATAAAGGAAAGCCCATAAAACATTTAATACAAATAATGATAATGGTAATTAATCTCAGGGCACTAGTGGAATATTGTTATGAATAAAAGTATTTACTGTAGCTTTTAGCATATTTCATTTTAATTGAATTAGCTTTAAAGTATTTTATACATAAAAAGAAGTCATATCTTTATGACGCAAGCAAAAAATAAAATATATAAGAGAGCGTATAATTTGTTGATTAAAATCTAGTATTATAGTACTTACGTGCTGCGACAGTTCCCGCATCTCTTCGGCGAGTCGCGCGGAGGTCTCCTCGTTGCAGCGAGCGGCGCGTTCCTCCCAACTTTGCTTAGTCGAAGCTGGTAAGGAACGCCACTCGTTGCCCACGATGCGTGATATCTCGCCTGTAGGAACAAATAGCTGCTACACCGACCACAGCAATGTAACTGTTCCGACTACACTACGCCATTAAGGAGCAGGACATTGTCGACTACATACGGACCAGGAGTAACCTGACATTGTGAGTAACGCAGCTAGAGTCGAGGCACAATGCTAGTATAAAGACGTTTGTGGCCCTGGTCCCCACGAACATACTGCCGACTTTCACGAAGGAGGACTACTGGCCGAACGAGGGAGGTATATCGGCGCTACCGTGGTAGATTGCCGTCGTCAGTGCCACACAGACAATTTATATTTTTATTTTTTATGTTAGTCTATAAGGCATTTGTAATATTGATTGAATTGTAATATTGATAGAGACTATTTATCAAATTTCTAATAAACCTGTTTTGATTCAACTATTAATTTCGACTAAAATGATAATAATAACACTGATTTTTGATATGATCCAGTGATCACTGTCGAAAATATTCTTATATTTTTATACCCGCCATAATTCAATACAATAAACAATCTACAACATTGGGTAAACTGTGAAAACTGTGAAAATGAGGGCAAAATTGTTGAAGTTGTTCATTGTGATAATCTAGATACTTTCTTGTAATATTTAGGAAGTTTTTATTCCGAAATGAAATGAAGGGGGCATTTATAAAATCATCTCACCAAATGTGCAATCTGGGTTGTTAGCAATGATCGCCTTCCGGACTTCGCTTGAATATAATATATAGCCGGTCACAATCTTCTGTTTCTGTTCTTTCTTCTTTTTACCAGTAGCCGGCGTTGCAGATGTCTGGCTGGTGGTCTTCTCTTGGGTTGGTGTTGCCGTCATCGTAGGATTGTATGGGTTGCTATTGCCGCCTATTAAAAACATAAAATCAGTTTTTTAATAGTAAATGTAAATTTTAATATCCAAGCGAAACATGAGTACTCCTAAGGAATTTTTGCACAGGTTAAGTTAACACAGATATTACACTGTATTATTTTAATTAGGTTCCTTTCTCTCATGTAGCTTTCAGATTATTTCAATTTATTACAAGATACTAATACAAATAAATATAAGATTATATACCAATAATGGAATTAAGTTTAATTGCAACACAATTAGAATATGACCACAACGATGATAAACATGACTGTTACATGATAAAATATATTAGACTTGAAACAAAAGTATGATGTATTCTAATGTAAAACAGAGTACAAGAAAAATAATCATGAAAGACCGGTAAGAATTAGCAACTACGTATTAACAACACAACTATCTTGATGTTTATATTACAAATATACACAATTAACTTACTTCCTTATATTAATTTAACATTTCGATTTAAAAGAAATTATGACGTGATGTCTGTGGCTCTCTTTATGTATATAGACGACGGTTGTAACTTACAAGATGGGCCAGCCATCACCTTCTGGAACATTCCATTAAGTAAAAATAAAAGATAGACTAGAGTACAAACCTATAGAGAGTGGAGTAGCAGGAGATGCCAGCGACGAGTCGTCAAGTGAATTCTCAAGTAGCATCTCTACATCATGACTGCCGATCGTTGTGTTTATGAGATTCGTGAACTGAGGCTTGCCATCCTGCACAAAAAAAATCTTAGTAGAAAAGCAATTATAAAACCGACACAAAAACAATATCAGATAAACTGAAAACATTTGATAATTTCGTATAAATATTTTATTTTAACTCATCGCCGTTTTGTTTTCGCATATCTTCATACATTTAACAACATAGTGATACTATACATAAAATACATTTCAGACGTATTTGCGACTTTTAATTGTAAAAATTTTAGCAACATTCTACAAATACAAATGATATTTCATATATAATAATTATAAATGTAAAATATGAATTAACAATCATGTTGTATAAGCAACTTTCATAGAATAAAGCCATACTTATTGGATATGAAAATAATAATGTAAAAGTTTACCATAGAGTCTGCATTTACGTTAGGATTGAAAGGCTTCTGTGTGAAGACACTGGACGATGACTGAACATCTTGGGCGGAGGCCAACGCCGGTGGACCCAAGGTCTTCGGAAAGAAGTAGATCTGAAATATATATAAAATACAAAAAATAATAATACGAACAAAAAATATCTTTAATCCATAGATAAATCCATTTTTCTATTGCTCATTTTTATTCAGAATAGGAAAGAAAAGAACCTCATCGACTGTGACGTCTTTCGTGTGCTCGAAGCGGCGAAGCCCAGCTTTGAGTTTGCGAGCGACGCGAGATGACTCGTCGTATGCGCATTCACACACGTATACGTCACCCTCCGCTATCTCCGTTGGACGACCTGCGCAGAAGCACACCAACTTATCTACTAGTAATTTTTCTATTTCCACAATACATTAATGAAAGTTTGTAAAAAGTTGTCTGCGTAGCGAAATCTTATCCTTTGAAATCCTATTTCAGTCACCAAGCAACTTGCTTTGAAAGTTTTTTTTACACACAGGCAATTCTTAGAGAGTTAATGGTTGTAAATACTGCATCTGAATTGATTATGCTTATACATAGGAACTATTAGGATACTTAAAAACTTAAAGACTTACACTTCAAATAGTCATCATAATCCAAAACTGCACATTTGCCCACGATGCCCACAAGCGGACTCGTATCATGCATAGTTGTCAACAATACCTCCTGCTTGTAGAACGGCTAAAAAAGACATTATAAAATATAGTGTAATTAAGAATATTATATGTATTGCTAATAATAATAATAAAATCAAAATTTAAATACCTTGTTAATAATGTTGGAGACCTCAGACGGGAAGATGAGGAATGGACCACGGAAGTAGCATTTATTACTGAAAATAATATATTTATAATTTTAAATTTCTAACAAAGTAGATAAATATAAAAGATTGTCTATAGCATTGTAAACTAGTATAGATAAAGCTACTAATAAAAATGTGTCCTTCATTTGATTCCGAGCATAACTATAAGTGACAGACATTTGTTGGAACCCACATGTATCCACGTTATAACTCAGATAAGTCAGAAATGAAAATTATCGCAATTGGCGTAGTAAATAATACCATGTACAGGCACAAAAAACCGCCTTCATACATCAATACTACTGATCAGACTTTGGAAAAATATTAATAAGACCAATAGTTAAAAAAAAAAGAATTTTTGAAGTAATGCATTGAAATTAAAAATGCAGCGGAATTGAAACCCCATTTTCATTTTGAACGTTTGAAGTTCGTTTGCAATGTAACAACAACTATTAAAAAAACTCTAATCTCAAAATTTTTCAATCTCAAATTTTCTATTACGTACTTAAAATCTATTTTAGGATATTATTACACATGGAGAGGTTATTTTTTAGATAAATTTACGAACATTTTATATACATAACTAGCAACCCGTCCCGGCTTCTTACGAAAGCATTATAAATATTTCAATTTCTCGATTTGTTCTTTACACACATTTATTATACATATAAACTTTCCTCTGGAATCACTCTATTGCTGAAAACTGCATTAAAATTCGTTACATAATTCAAAAGATATTAGCGAACAGACAGCGGCGGTGACTTTGTTTTATACTATGTAAAGAAGTGTAAAAATATACTCACTCGCCAGTTTCCCAGATGGTGTCGACCTGTGCGATCATCTGCTTGCCGCCTTCTGCCACCACGTACACGTAGTCCCCGGTCTTGATGACGCCCGAACACACCGTATTGTACTGCTCGTAATATGTGTTCTCGTCGTCCGTACCCAGCGGATTGTACATCACTACATCCTATTCGAATGTATGGTTCAGTTATTTGTATATAAATCCATTCATACCGTGAATTTTAGAATATATCAAATAATGCGATCATTTAAAAAAATTGGATGTTTTTTTTAAGTATAACCACATAGAGTACATTATTCATTAACATGGGAAACGGTAGCTCAGATAAATATCCATAGCCCAATTATTCTCCAGTAGTGATATAATTGAAATGAACCAATTGATCCAATCATACAAATTATTTAATTAATTAAATCAGGTTTTCCTGACTTACCTAAAATAATCAAATCAAATTACAAAGAAATGCGTACCGGTCTCTCTTTCTCTTGAACATTTTCGAGCACTTCCAGTTCAGCAAGCTCATCTTTGTGTTTCTCGACGCGTTCACGGAATACCGACACTGTCCTGTTAGGCTCCAAAGGTACCTGAATAAGTTTAAAAGTATTTGTAATGTACGACATACATAGTATCCTAGTGCTTCACTACTATGACGGAGGCACGAAATAGAAAAAATAATTACTTCTCTGGGTATGAGAGTGGCCTCTTTCTCAGCTCCTTCCCAGACCTTAATTTTCTTGAACCAGCGATTCTTGGTGTTGTATCGGCTCTCGCATACATAAACATCCTTGTCCAAGTAACCTGCATATTGAGAATGAATTATACAATAACACAAAATTATAATAATAATCTCAGGACAATTCACACAGCGCCATCTAGTCCCTAGTTAAGCTAGCTAAAGCTTGTGTTACGGGTACTAGATAACTGGTACAAGTACATAGATTTTTTTTCGTAAATATATACATATTATACATAAAAAACACCTAGACCGATACAAACAATCATACTCATGAATACGAATGTTTGTGCCGTGCGAGGAATCGAACCCGCGATCATCGGACGTAAAGCGGTGTGTTAGACCGCTAGACCACTGAGGTCGTCATCGTCATTAAAATTAATATAATTAAACCATGTGTTAAGCCCTATTCTGAGGCAGGTTGTTCAATCTCATGAATACCTCATGCGTATCCACTGCAATGGTTATAATAATTAAAATAAATATTGTATTTACTGTGACATTAAAACAACTATTGTATTTATCAAAGTTATCAGTAATATCTTAATATAATAATAATCATTATCATGTCAGTCTAATATTCCACTTATAGATATGCACATTTTCCTTATGCAATACCTTCAGGCCGGAACTTGAAGTATTCCTTGACGTTCATTACGTAGCAATGGCTGAGTATATGTTCAAGGGGCACAGTGCGATGCGTTTCCGTTTTGAATACCTCTTGCTGTAGGAACTTGCGCGTGCGAACGTGGAAAGTCTCATGCGGTCTGTGAAACACAAGTAAATTTTATATATTTCGCCAGTTAGGGGCCCCAATAAGAAATCGCTAATAATACTTATAAAAATAAACATAATAATATAAGTACTTTTGAATAGTCTTAGTATTCTACCACTCATGTGGAATGCAAATTCAGAATGAGCAAGAAACTTGGCCCTTTAAAAAGATATCTTTCAACTTCACATTAATAAGATTTTGCATGAATACAAACTACTAAAATAAACAAACCAATTCACAAATATAAAATATTGAATATATACTTAAATAAATAAAATAACTCAGTCATGATGATTAGAGCAGACCAAGTCCCTACAAGCACCCTATTCAGGATTATAACTGTCATTTGGGGAGCCGTATGACGCAGGGCATCACGCCACCGACTATCTGGAGACCGATTTTAGCGAACATGACTCACTCAAGACACTTTATTTCTATTTCAGTACTCACTGCTTAACAGTAAGAAAAATCTCTGTAAATACAGAGATATAAGAAAAGTTTTTATGTAATTTGAATGGCAAACATTTGACGGCCCACCTGATGGTAAGTGATATCATGTTACAAAAGTCTAGTCTACTGAACTTAATATATATATAATGTCCAATGGTTTATTCAAACAGCAATTACCTGTAATATACATTAGCATAGATCATAGGCACTCCATCTTTATTGGTCCATACTCTTTCCACTTGAACAATATTGGCGTCCTTATTGCCCTTTTCTGCTTGTACGTAGACAAAATCACCTTTGTTGTATTGTGTTTGGAATGGCGCGGCGCTACCGGCTAGTACAGACTCTTCAGTGCTGGATCTATAAATAATACTTAGTATTTAGAAGTTTAAATTATAATGTAATAGAAAGTGTCGGAGAGGTCACGTCACCATTGTTTTGATCCTGCGAGTCAGATAATTTAGTATTTTTAATAAAATGTCGTGTAAGCCGATATTGCAGCACCGTGTGTATATTTACACGAACCATTTCTTTTGACCCCCTCATAACTCAAAAACTCTTTCACACAAACCTGTCAAATTTGGTTCATATATTGAGACTTGCGAGATAAATATGTGTTCCAAATTTCATAAACATATCTCAAACGGTTATTTAGATATTAATGTCCAAAAATCGTCATTTTTATCACTGATCAACTATAGATCAAAATTATAACCCACTTCCAGATGACCTAGGAACTTCAAATTTGGCATGCAGATAGGAAACTGGTAAATTGTTATCATTTTACTACAATTTTTCACTTTAATTGATTCTATTTAAACTTATACTGGACGAATACTAAAATTCTATGAAAACGTCGATAGCCACCAATTGACATTGATCCCTGGCGAAAAATCTCATCTTGTACAGGACGGAAAGTAATATTGTATGAAAACGTCGATCATTACCAATTTACGATATCACATCAGTGTCGATAACTAGCAAACTTCAAATATTGCATTGAGCGGTAAACACTAGTTGCTATAATTTAGATTCTGTCTAAAATATACTCGTACTTATAACTAGGAATAGTCGAATTTCGTATTTTTATGTTATTAATGAGATTTGTATTAATTATTGGTTCAATATTTAGCGCACATCGATAGTGTAAAATCATTAGTTTTATAAATAATTATTAAGTAATAACGTAATGGCGATATAACGTTGACGCGAACTGTCCGAGCGAATGGCAGCCGCCCTCATATGTCTCAATGTTTTGTTTCTCGATATCTAACCTATAAGGTTGCGATTTATACTACGAAATTTATAGCTTTCTTAAATTATACTTATATATTTGTGGTTATATTATTATTACATTATTTTAGTAAATACGTATCGTATAGACAATATATTAATAACAATTTTAGTATAGTTATAAGTAGGAATGTATAGTTAACTCGAGAATGAGAACTCATTGGTAACAAATTGTTTCTTGAGAATTCAATAGATAACAGTCAATTTAACATAATCGTCTTTACGAACTATAACGTGTCAATACGAAGTTTCAATGTCAATATTAAATAATGTATATGTTGAAAGAAAACAATTCCGTATTTGCTTAACATATGCTATTACTATCCACAAATCACAAGGCCTTAGTTTTGGCAGTCCTCTTCTCAACATAGGCTCCTCTATATTTAATAAAGGGCAGGTTTACGTTGGACTCTCCAGAGTTAAAACCTTAGATGGAGTACGTCTTAACAATTTAGATCCTAGTCACGAGAGCTCTATTGTAGAGTACAACCCACAGTGGACGTTATACCGCCCCGAATTGCCCAAAAATTCCTGATACTGAATTGGCATTGCACTTGAACATTTAAAAGTTACAAGAAAAATAGAAAATCAATTATACCCCGTAAATATACGAAAATACAGTAATTTATCAAAAATAATTTGGTATTAATTTAGTTATAAATTTGTATAATTTATGTACAAAATGTAATGATATCCCATCAAAAACATAAATGTGAAATGTGCCGAGTTTAATATTATGATATATGCCTTGATTGTTGACTTCTACGTACATAAATGGGTGCCAAGTTCAATGGTCTGTCCTGAAATGTATTTATAACAATATAAAATATCATTTCTTCTTATAACTTAGGATAATATACTGTAGCCTAAGGTCTAACTTGGCTAGTTTTCATATACGAAATATACTGTAGCCTTCGCAAGTTCTAAACATGTTACTTCTCGGTTCCTATTTTAATATTAATAGTAACTAGCAATCGAAAGTAATGATTGGTATATGAGAACTGGCCAAGTTAGACCTTAGGCTACTGTATATTATCCTAAGTTATATGAAGAAATGATATTTTATATTGTTATAAATACATTTCAGGACAGACCATTGAACTTGGCACCCATTTAGATCTCATCTCTTTTGTCGTAGAAGTCATCAATCAAGGCATATATCATAATATTAAACTCGGCTATCATTTCACATTTATGTTTTTGATGGGATATTACTTACATCAAACTAAGTGAATGAGTTATTGACAATACAAACATTGTAATGTTGTCATTGTAATCTTTCTGTTCACAAGTAGGAACAACTACTTATTTTATATTATACTAGCTGTACCCGCGACTTCGTCCGCGTGGAAATATAATCAGTCCATTATATTCATATACGAATAGTAAAAAACGGTTATTTTAATATTACAAACAGACAATCTAATTTTATTTATGACAGCCTCGGTGGTCTAGTGGTTTAGCACACCGCTTTACTATCCGATGGTCGTGGGTTCGATTCCTCGCACGGTACAAACATTTTGTATTCATCAGTATGATTGTTTGTATCGGTCTGGGTGTTTTCTATGTATAATATGTATTTATTTACAAAAAAAATGTATCTATTATTTATATCAGTTGTCTACCCATAACACAAGCTCTGCTTAGCTTGGGACTAGATGGCGCTGTGTGAATTGTCCTGAAATAATATTATTATTATTATTTATATGTATAGATTTGGCATTGATAGTTTTATTTTAAGTAATGAATGGCAAAGAAACTAATGGCCCACCTGATGGTAAAACGGTAGCCGACGCTTATATACCTAGACTAGATGAACAGTACTACGGATATCACATTAACATGTGACACCCACAATATCACTCATGCGTTTCCATTCTGAAGGATTAGTCCTTCAGAATGGAAACGCATGAGTATCCTTAGGGATATCTTAGTCCTTCAGAATGGAATGTCAATTATCCAGTCATTTGAATACGCTAGTGCTTTATAATAGCGACTGTAATAGGTGAGAGATATCCCCACACAGATAACTTTCTACATCTGCTACTGGTATGCTGAAAAAAGGTTACGTTCTAGAGAATCTCACCTGGTCTCATCTTCATCCTCGTTCTCCTGCAACAGCTTGCATTGTTTGACAAGCTCCACACTGGTGGTAAGGGTGTCCCTTGTGAAGTTCATTGCAGGGGATTGAAGAGTATTCTTGCACAGTAGGTCTCGTTGTTCGACGAAGTACGATTGTAGTTCTACAGAATCTTCGAATATCTGACTGTCAGTGCGAGAGAGGCGTCGTGCTCTATATACAAACAAAATAAAAATAATATAATTATTAATAATATAATAGTAAGAATAAAATACTAAATCTTATAAGTAAGTTCATTTAATGTTAGACGTAGATACCTACATAACTACACAATGTAAATAAACAGTGTTTAAAAACGGATTTTTTTGAAGATAGTTTATTTAAGCATCTTGCCAGTTCTTCTCAATTGAATCTGTATACTGAACTGGATGGTAGGGAACATTAAAGGAAAATCCCATGAATGAGCAATCATTGCCATGCATGTTTGTCATTTAAGTAATCATTTAGTGAGGCTTTAGAGTAATAGGCTTTGCTCGAGAAATATAATTTAAATTATTTGTACAAAGTTATCATGCGTTTTGATTGTAGTCACTGATAAAATATACTAAAGAATTATGTGTTAACTGAGTTCTAAGTTCACCTTTCAAAAACAGCAAACATATCCTGCTGGAAGTGGTCCAAACGACGGTAGAGCCCACGATCCAGACGACGCTTCACTAGATCGAGGCTAATTGCACGCACGCGTTCGCCGCCAGCCTCGTCGTGTTCAGGCAACTCCGCCATACTGTCTGAGTAGCATCTGTAATAAACACAAGTAAACATACTCAATGACAGGTTAATAAAATATTTTCATGAATAAATGGCTTAAATAATTCTATTATTTATGTAGAATAACTGTATAATAACTTTCATTTCAACATGAATATATTTCTATTTACGACATTTTGGTTCAATTTATTTTGTCATTCATAAGTACTGAAAAGTATTTAATATGAATTTTATTACAAAGTAGATAAAATATAATTTAATATCTATGTAATTTTTAAGCTTTTTTGTATAATAATACGACAATAGAGCACTATAATCCGAAGCTAAGCAGATCTTCTAATATGGAAACTAAACAACTGTTAGAAATACTTAAACACATTTTTTTTATAAATACTTAATGTGGTCATCGGAACGAACGCTGTGTTCTAAACCGGTAACCCATAGAGGCAGTCGAATAAATGTGAAAATAGTATAAACATTTTGCCCTTTCAAGTCCGTTATAGTTTTTACGTCTCTAATGTAATAATCGATTTCCTTACCTGCCCTCTTCATCTTGGTGATTGTATACAGTAGTGAATAAGTTGAGTAACAACTCTTGTACGGCTGCCGGCACATCGGGCACAGCATCTTCATCCTCCCTGTTATAAGGCAATCATGATTAATTTATAAATTTTGTGAAGTTAAAGCATCAATTCTATCAATGATATCAATTAGTACTATTTTATTACTATCACTTATACTATTTTAGTTACTATTTTATATTTTATTCAAAAATTTGTAAAGAAACTGTATTCCATTTATAAACCAAACATAACAGTAAAATTTGGAAAAAGAGTATCAGAGTATACTCATTTTCCAAATTAATTTTAATCTAATCTCAATCCAATCCAGTTTAGTACTATTCTTATGAAAAATAATACATAAAAGAAACTTTTCCATTAATAATTTTACTATTAACTTATAACGTCATTACAAAATTTATATGACAAAACAAACTCTTTGCCAGATTTAAGTAATTCAAATTACTACTATTTCAATTTGTTTAAGTATTTAAAATAGGTTTCTCACCAAACTAATTCGCACAGTGCCCAGATTGAGGAACGCATAATATCCTTAGAAGTCCGCCATATTGGATTTCGAGTGACGTCACATTACCTTTCGCATTATTGTCAGCAGACCCTTTTTTATACACATATATGGTAGGAGTGCATGCACGTAACACAACTAAGCATGCATTATCATACATAATAAACATGTGTCTAAAATTGCAGCTCAAACGGTTGAAGATTTCTGCTTCAAAATTGAGTTTCAATATTCCACACGAACATACATTGCAAGTTAAATAAAAGCTAGTAACAATATTATAATACTCACCTAAGTAATTGCTTAGTCTGTAAACACATTCGCTGTAGTATCAATGCATCTTTATATATCTGTGAATCCGGTTCATTATACTTGCAGGCATTATCAAACATCAGTATAAAATCGGAAGCTAGTTCATTGACAGAATTATAAGTGCTCATCTTGAGTTTGTGTGCTATCTTCTCCATGTCTATAGGATTTTTGATCAGCTCGTAATAATCTGGGTATTCGATTTTGTTCGGTAGTTTCATAAATATAAGTGCTAGTTGGCGGTTTGCTGAAATATACAAAACCAAATAGAAATGGAAATTTCATTAACTGATAGCATAAATGAGTTAGAAAATCTTCCCAGTCTCTTTATTTCTGTATATTATTTTTTACATCCAAATAACACAGAATAAATTTTAAAATAGACTCTGTAATTAGTACATGCAATCATATAATAATGTATCTGTTATATCAAACCCAACATACTACACACACATAAAATATTACTAGCAGGTATTCGCGAATTTCCCTTAGTACTGGTATGTTACTCACTTTCTCTGCCCTAATGTTATATGACCTCATAAATGTCTACTAACAAAGTCAACACAAGCAAAATGCGTGAAAATAAGTTGAAAAATAATTTGTAAACTATTTTTCTAAATAAATGGAGATATAACAGATATATAGAATATTCCTAAAACTCACCTTTTGGATCCCTGTAATCTCTGATGGCATCATACAATGTCCTCAATTTCTGTTCCAATGGAGACAATTGTTTGGACTTAGCCATTTTAAATGTTTTCAAGGTCACCTTCTTCTCCTGCATAGCACTGTTTAAATCTTTCAACCTCTCATTAAGCTGTCTTTCTAGAAGATTCGCGTCATCATATACCATGGAGCCCTCTTCGTTGAACTGGCGGCAGTTGGAAAACATGACGCGGAAGTCAGCGATCATCTCATCAACCGAGTTATATCTGTCGTTCTGTAAAAAAAGTATAATGACGATAATGAAAATGTTTTAGTTAGTTGTGAGTGAAAGTTTGATGTGATTTCGAAAATTTGCTCATCAAACGCTCAACATCAGTTTATGTTGAGCGTTTGATGAGCAAATTTTCGCTGCGCAATATTTAGATTTTTTTAGGCATTATTTTGCATATAGTTGATAAGTATACTAAAACGCATAAAGATTTTTGCTAGCATATAACACATAAAAGTTGTTAAGGTTATTTATTAAGTACTATACCGCAGCAGAACATCTACTAGATTAGGTGATCCTACCATATGTGACGACCTCAGTGATCTAACGGTTTAGCACACCGTTTTACTTCCAATTAAAGGTACTGCCTTGTAGCAATAAAGAAGACTGTAACACTTGTATAGGTAATGTGTTCCTAAATATATATTTAGTAGCAACTGGTTGACAATGCTTGATAATTAAAAAAATATTATTACAATACTGACCTTAATATTACTTTCAATAGTTAGCATATCAATGGGTCTATCAATGACGTTATAATAATCTGGGTACAGTTTCTTGCTCGGCTTCTCCATGAACAATAACATAGGCTGCCTTCCATCAGGGCATGTATACTCCAGCATCTGTTTGGCTATGTAGTGAAGCTTCTTCTTAAGGGGCAGGTTGGACTTCGGGATTGAGGGAGAAGGTGCTGGCGATGGAGCTGATGGTGGAGCAGGATTGGTGCGCGGACGTCCTGCGTAAGAAAGTGATATAACACATTAAATTGTAATTAAACGGAATATTAGTATTGAAAATAAAATAACAACAATTACAGATTTAAGTTATATAATTAACTTGCTGTCTCGCGCAACATCGTCTGCATCACACTTAACGTTTATCATCATATTTCGGCCAACTTACACGATATCTTATTAAATTATAGCCTATGTGTTATTCTCATATACAAGCTATATTACTGTAAAGTATCATTAAAATCCCTTCAGTAGTTTCTGCGTGAAAGGGTAACAAATATCCATTCATACTCATAAACTATCCCATTTATAATATTATAATAGAAAGATTGATCTAACAACTATTAGTACCTGTATACTCGTCCATTTTATCACTACTGAACTCCTCCATAACTTAATCGACAAAACGGCGCAAAATAATGTAACTTCACCACAGTCAAATGAAAACAACTTTACAGTCCAATACATAAATGTAATATAACAATTGAATAACGTCTCATTAAGAGGTATATTTCTAAGAAATAATATTACAATAACTAGCTGAACTATATAACTGTTATTGGGTTCTGCGAAAGTGATAAGACAAATTAAATTACAGGCACTAAGTATGGGAATAAGCTTATTTTGATAAACAAATACCTTATATCGTATACCTCAACATTGTTACATATGAAAGTTTATAACGGTGTCTGGAAATTGGTTGCTTAATTTACGAGATTACAAGAAATGGTGGTATACCTGATAGCACATTTCTAGATTATAACAAAAAAAAACCACGGTCTACACTATTTATAGGACCATGTAGATCGTAGAAACAAAGATTGTTAAAAATATGTATTATTAATAATCTAGTAATATTTCATACTTTATTATATAATTATTCTAATACTTATTTACTTGCACACTATGAAAATATTCTACTATTATAATCATTGATTTAGACTGAAAATTGCTCGTAAAGTAAAAATTTAGTATTACAATTTCCAACAAATGACACAGATGATAATAATAATTATAATCAACATAAAACAGTTCAAATTAGGATCTTATAATATGTAAAATGAAATATACATATATGTATGAAATGATGATACTGAATAATTAGTACCTGGAGTAGTTAATTTTCTCTCCAAACTTTTTATTAATAAAAGTATAATTATCACCTTTATATTCTTTCCTCAAAGAACTATATCCTTCACTATATATATCTTATATAAGTTATATATCTCAGTACCAAACTAATCTTAATATGTTTAATGATTCAGGCGGGAAGAGGTCGTAGACAGATAGAAAGTTATTTTAGCATTTATAATGCTTCTTACCTCTAGGTCTAGGTGTGCTTTGATTCTGGCTCTTCACTGTAGAAAGGCTTTCGTCATCGCTGGACGAACTTTGCACAATATCCAGTAGCTCTTGTACTCGTTGTTGCATTAATCTAAACAATTATTTGTATTTAGATATTTTTTACAGGTTTTTTATGCAATTGGAATGTAAAAAAAATGGTCGCCTTTATACATGAACAGTACTACGTCACATATAATGTGACATCCGTGATCACGTTTTTAATTCAACTTTTTAGAGGCTCCGGTATTATTGATTCTAAGGAACTTAGACATACCTTTGCAACTTAACAGCATCTCTATACAGCCTTGACATTGGTACATTGTACTGTTTGGCGTTCTCAAACATAATATTCATATCACCGGCCACCTCTGATAGGGTTCCGTAAGCCCCGCGGCGAATTTTATTTTTAATCTGGTTCAGGGATACTGGGTTTTTTATTTCTTTATAATAGTCTGGGTAAGCTCGACGTGAGGGAAGTTTCCAGAAAGGTTCCGCCATTGGAGTACCTGTGAAAGTTATGGCTATGTAAAAAAGATAATATTCTCTATTAAGGGAATCATAAAATATAATCCAGAATAATTATTATACCAAAGTTGTGTCAAAAGTCAAGTGTATCCAATTTAGAAAAAAAATTACGACACAATAACAGCAGTGAAGATGCTTCATACAGAACTAAGATTTATACGTTTTTATTATTATCATATTACTTTGAACAAAATTACTGACTGACTTAAAATAGATTACAAGTACTTTAAATACAAAAGCTATATATTATTCATATATTCACCAAATAAATTTCTTACGACTTCAGTACTTTCATGTAGTTCCTTACATGCGAATATTAATATATTACAATTAATTATATTTAGTGTACAATCTTATTTTTGTAATTAACAATTTGCTTCCCTACTTATTTTTGGTAATATGTTTCTTTTTGAGAATTTAAACTATCAGTAATTTATGAAATTTTTGTGAGATGGGAAAAAAAATCAACCCTCTAAAATCAATTTCTGTTAAGGTCACATTATCATACAATAGCAATAATATTATAGGAATAGGTAATTACCACTAGCACCCAAATGATTTTTTATAGTTTCCAGAAGTTTCCATTGCGGTGAGTCTTCATTTTCAATGTGTTCTTCACCACTTTCACCACCGCTATCTTCAGAATGCTAAAAATATAAAATTAAGTAAGCATATGAATAAATACATAATACATATATAATTTTATTTTATTAGCCTATACTTAAATTTATTTATATTGACCTTAACTGAATCTCATGTTTATAAATGATGCGCGTCAGTAAAAAATTATTACAAACTTAAAATAAATAACATTAAGAGTGCTAAATTATTTTGTCAGTATCCTAAATTTATCCTCGGATGTCATGTGATAACGCGATTTTCGTAGTGCAGTTCATGAATATAGGCGAGGGTTACAATTTAGCATCAGTTGGGTCTTGGTCCAAAGCCTAATTGGCATTCCAATTACATAAAAAAGCAATACCACAGATTACCATTGGTGAATATATGCTGACCTTAAGTTCAGGCTCGGCATCAGAGCCGGGTGGCTCCATAATAGCTAGCGCCTTACTGTTCGGAACCGGGCCAACGCGTGAGGTCCGTTTGCTGCGAATGCGCTCCGATGTCTTCGCCGGTCCGCTGCGACCATGTTGGTCAATCTCTTGTTTGCGAACTTGGATAACCTACGCACAATGTTTCCACATCAAAATCCTGATTTACATCATTTAAGTAATATTATAAAGAGGCAAGATTTTTAGTTTCCAATAGACAAGCTCAAAGAATAGTTATAATCTCTTTAAAATGTTCTACCTACATTACCAGTCAATTGATTGACAGTCAGTAGATTGGAAATACTACCTTCTTCAGTGTTTTCGCATCCTTATAAATCTGACTGCCAGGTTCATTAAAGTGGCAGGCATTACGAACCATCAGTTGCAAGTCTTTCTCTAACTCATTTAAGTTAGTATATTCACCACCCTGTATCTTTTGTGCAATAGTCTTCAAGTCTATAGGGTTGTCTATCACATTGAAGTATTCTGGGTAGCGGCGCTTGGACGGCAAGAATTGGAAGGCAGGGTAAAGTGGCCTACCATCTGAATTGGCTGTCATTACCTGCGATTTTAAGAGTGATATGTATTATACCAACAAATTATATTGCTTTATTTTAATTAACACAAACTGTCATATATATAAATTTTATGAAATATTACTAATGAGCAAGACATTATATATTTTATAAAGTTAACACTGTGTTACTAAAGGAAAGATATGGAAATATGAAAACAAAATTTCTAAAAACTTACTGCATTAAATAACTCTTCAAACACATTGTCCTCTTCATTGTTTGTCGAGGTTTCTGATAGATCCTCAGCCACATCTGACCTTCGACTGGATGAACCATTGCGGGATAACTTTGGAGTCTTGATTTCTTCACCTAAAACATAAAATGTACCTGGTAAAGAGACTGTACTGAAATAACTCACTCACGAAGTCCTTATTTCATTACATGGTCAAGATGAAGAATCTCATAAATTTAGGTGTTATTTTGCAGAAGTCCATTTCATCACTTTAATTATTTAATTCCGCTAATATTAACAGGTGCGAAACAAAAACCTTTCCCTGCAGAATCCTGGCCACTGTTACCAGAAGCATTACAACCTTTTTCACTAGTAATGAAACTCCGCTGTTATCAGACACAGATATTGCGACAAGTGTTTCGCCTCTTAACAAGGCTTCATCACGCAATAAATAAAGCTCGTTTTATCGTGTTTGCAAGCCTTAACTATTTGGCAAACAGACTATGACTAGGTCGAGCTGGCCTTTACAGTCTCTCTGGATGACCTGTAGATTCAGTGCAGAACACCACTCACACACTTACTCTCTGAGCCATATTGTGTTATGAGAAATGACATGCAGAGTATCAGGGTGCACAATTCAACTACACTACTACAACTAAAGCCCAATACAAAATATCATATCTACTGTACTGTACTGTACACTATATCACATACATTAAGAAAATGCTATTTTTATTACCATTTTCCAATGCTTGTTTATTCTGCACATACAGCTTCCACAATTCAATAGCATCTTTGTACTCTACAGAATCTGACTTATAGAAAGCTTTTGCATTATTTACAAGTAGTTCTATATCAGCTGATAACTCTTCGATATCTTCATAAGTGTCAGTTTTCAATTTTTGTTGAACCTGTAGAAAGATTTGACATTAATGAAGTACCTATATTAATGTTAGTAATACTTAAAACCCATTTAATTGCCTACTTTAAAACAAAGTATCTGTTAAATAATATTTGGTAAAAACATTTTACATAATATGATGGCCTTAGTGGTTTATAAGTTTAGCACACTGCCTTATATCCAGAGGTTGTAGATATAATTCTTCACATGATACAAACCTTTGCATTTATCAGTATTATTATTTGTATTGGTTAAAAGGTACATACCTTTTAACTATATAAATTATTTATACATTAAAAAAATATATAAAAATAGAAGCACTGGCTTAGTCTGGGACTAAATTCTGTGTGAGTTGTTGTATGTTCTTATTATAATATTCCTATAGTCATAAACCTTATAGTAACCAAGAATCAAATTGTCATGAGTGCTCCTAATATACAAAAGCAAAAATTCAATTTACTTAGACCTGAAAAAGAAGTAATAATTACCCTCAACAAGTCAATAGGTTGCGACACCACTTCATAGTACTGTGGTTCCTGTCGCCTTTTAGGAGCCCTGATAAAAGAGTCACATAATAATGTTCCATCTTCTTTTTTATATGATCTTATAATGTCATATAACTGCTGACATATTTCACCCTGAAATATAAAGAAAATCCTAAATATTAAATATTTTACACAAAAACGGTGACAGAAAATAAACACTCCAAAAAAATACACACACCCAAACCCAAAGCGCATATTAGATACCTTTCTTTCCAGTGCAGGATTTGAACCTAAGACGAACCCACCTCTCTGTGAATATGAGGAGATTATTATACTAAAATGATGGGTTTGCCATAAACAAAATAATCTTATGAAAAATAATTTACAATGTTAAATATATGTCCATAATAACCCATTAGCCCTAACTTATATGGTGCAATGAGGCAGTGGTACATTTTGAATAACTTTTTTAATATAATTGGAATGGTAAATAAGCTGACCACCCACAATAAATGCTGACGGCTAAGCTGTAACTGTTACCCATATATATAAACAGCACTATGTACATCACAGTATCATGCAACACCCTTGATAACACTAATATGAAGCCATTCAAGAGGACTAATATGTTGTGCCTCTTATCGTGTAATTTCTTGCCTATGAGCTGCTAGTAATTACACATTGCATGTACGTGAACCAGCCAGGTGACTACATGGCAGTGTTCACATAGTTGTATGATTTGGTCCATACATACGGTCTGATTTAGCACATCTGGCTTTTATGTAAATTCGTCCAGTAGCTAATGTTTTAATAGTTCACTGCAGAATGCAGATGCCCTTATAGGAATGGACTCAATCATTAAATAATGATACCGTTTTGTTTACTTATTGGATTATAATTAACATTACAAGATGTACGTGTGTAAAACCTATATTAAATATATATATAAATTAGAACTTACAGGATCTAGTTTCTTTTTCTTACGAGACGATGGCGGCGGCACGGGGTTGCTAAGTTCCGCTCCGTCATCACTATCGTCATCAGCTCCACGGCTTGCCACGGAGGAAGCGCGGCGTCTTTTACTCATTATTTATTCTTAAGTGTCCGCACCTGTATGAAAACGGACGTAGAATTTCACAAAATTATTCACACACAATAAATTAACAACACACGATACGGGTTCCGGTATGTTTATATTATTAAAAATTTATATCAATATTTCTAATTCAAACACATATTCCACATAAAATAAACCTATAATAATTTGGAGAATCCAGAAAAATAGCAAAAACTCGTAATTAATTTAAATTTACCATTTATTTTAAGAATTTTGTGGATTAATAAACATAAAGCGGTGAAGCCAATGAAATAGAAGCCATTCTTTTAGTAAATGTCAACTTCAAATCAAACCTTACTGTCACAATGACACCCAATTCATTCAAAGATCCATAGATAAAGAATAATAGAAAATAATAATCACTCACTATACTATACTATGTCAATATATAATCAAATATATTGATAGACTAGGTAAATAGTTTTTTTGTTGTTATCTAATTGCGTGTCTAATTGCTTCGCATAGACAAAAATTTTCTCTGTGTGCTGTACATCTAATGCGTACTCTGGCACTGAAAGAAAAATATTGTATTGAATTATTAACAAAAACAACGTGTTTCTCTTACCTCTACATATATCATAGAAATAGTAGATACATTATTTCCAGTTTAAATCGAATAAAGTGATTTCGTACTCCTCCCTACCGCCATCTAGTTTGACATATCCATATTTGTTTTTTTTTGCAAATGGATTGAACATAATAAGAAGGCAATTAAAACATATTTTCTAGTTATTAAACTAATTTGTTGTTTTTTTCGATCTATTATCTTAAAGCGATAAAAATTACCAAACATTTTATAATATTTGTAATGGTTTTCTAAACTTTAGGTTTTTTTTATAATACATATTTGAAATGGTTTTCTAAACTTTAGGTTTTTTTTCGTCTACCTACATACTTTAAGAATTGTGCCTTGCAACTGTGTAATATTATCTTATCTGTGCTTGCAACAAAAACTTGTATAGTTTAAAACGTCTACATAAACGTTAACGACATTCATACTGTTATATTGCGAAACGGGAACAGGAAACAAAATGCTTAAATATCATAAAAATTTCATTTTGTACGGTGAACTCGAATACTTCTGCCTTTTGTGTAGTGAAACTTTTTTGATTGTAGAAGAAGTCGAAAAACACTTACGGTGGGAAAATCACAGGAAACTATTAAAGAATCAAATTCTTTTTCCGAAATTGAAAAAAGACTCAATTTATAAGGTTTGTAACACAGTTAAGACTATTTTTTAATAAATTTCAAACTCACTATACAATTCCACACTATTTTTTACTTACAAATATTTTTGTGTCTTACCTTACAACTTTTTCAGTTTTTGATTATTTTTTTTACTCAAAAGCTGATGCTTCTTATGAGGCGCTATGTCAATTATATCCATATAATACCAGTAATTTTAAGTTACATAGTTAGTTATATTGCGATTGAAGTAGGTTTTTTCGTGGACTGAATATAGAATGGTGGATCTCATTACGCTAGCACCGTATGTGCTCGCAGGGCGCGCGATAGATATAGGTACCTACTCTGATCTGTAGTTAGCTCGCGACAAATTCACCAGGAATTAATCAGGATAGTTTTTTATTCAACTATATATATCTATGAAGACAGTACCTATATAATGTTACTTGTATAGCGTAGGAGGAAGCTTTAACATTATTATCACTAAAAATTGAGGCTGATTGTACAAATCGAGTCTCGGCATTTATTGTTTTGTTATTTTATATGTCCTACGTACCTATAAACGTAAAAAATACGACAAAGTCTGTGAGGATGGCTGGATATTTGACTCCTTTATGCAAAAGTTACTGGAAGGATTCGAATGAAATTTGGTATACAGATATATCATGTCCCAGGTTAGTAGGTAGTAGGTATACAGAATATTTTACACCACAATTGGATATTGCTATAGTAATTTAATAAATTAATTTATTAGCACTAATAAATTTTATTATCTTTATAGGTGCTTGCCATAATTAATGTAACTTATATAAAAATATATTTCAGATTGGGGACAATTTCTATTGCGAACTATGTAACCATTTGTCGCCAGATATTACAAATATTACAACTCACGTTAATGATGATAAACACAAAAGAAATAAATCGTCTAAAACCCCTACTCCCACCACTTTCGTAGAGTGCAAACGGGATATTGATACAGGATTTATAATAGTTCACGATATAATAGTAACTATTGAACAATGGAATGCTTTAATTGGTCTGAAAAATTGCATGATGTGCGATACTGTAGTAGAATTGAAACGAGCAGATGAGCACCTGCTTAATCCTGAACATGTCATAAAGTTGATACAATCTCGCGTAATTATGGAAAATGACGATAGATGTTATAGAAAGGTAAGTATACACAAATATAAATTTCAACAAGAGTCGAATACCAAATGTACTTTTGATTTAAAATAATTTTACTGTGAATGGATATAGAATCTATCTATGTAGCCTTTTGGACTCATATTTTGACAGTTAGAAAATATTAACTATAGATACTTATCTATAGTACCTAGGTATCTGTTCAGTAATTTCACTAACACATTAAGTTCTGTACTGTACTTATAAAGGACGGCCTGCACCTACCGCCTACTGTTATCAATTTACAACAGAATTGAAATCGGGAAGTGAAGAATGCAATATAAAATTATTTCTTTTTTATAGTATGATTCATTTGAAACGTATTTAGTACTAGCTGTTCCCGCGACTACGTACGCGTGGAATTTAACTTTATTTTTCTAAAATAAAAGTAGCCTACGTAACTCCTTATTACGTCAGCTACCTGCCAAAAAAGACCGGTTAAAATCGGTCCAGCCACTTCAGAGATTAGCCGGAACAAACAGACCCACATATAGACAGACAAAAATTATAAAAAAAAATATTTTGATATATTTACCATATATAAGTACATATATTCATATGCATGTAGTAAAAAAACGGTTATTTCAATATTACAAACAGACACTCCTATTTTATTTATATATATAAATAATGGTATTTAGCCATAAGGTTTTTTTTTAAGGATGATAATGGAATGGTGCACCCTCCTGCGCTAACGGTTTACGCTAGCGGGGCACCATGGCTCCTTTGTTATAAATAGATGGAGACCATATTAGGCGAATCCTATAGGCATTAAGTAAAGCCTAATATACCTCTACCTTTAGGTATCTCAGGCTTTACTTAGGGTTAGCAATACCTGACAGGTCAAATTAAGGATTGAGGTCTTGAGAAATTATGTAGTTAGGTGTGAAATGCCTATGTAAATTAACAGGTAAATATTTACGAATATAGTACCTACCTTGTATTTTCAGATAAATGCAGATATCAACTATTGTTTCATTTGTAAGATAATTGTCAAAACATCTGATCTAAATGACCACTGGGACTCAGAAATACATTGTTCAAATAAAACATCCAGTATTACAAGGACCTCAAAAGCGACAGAAACGAAAACAACCAAGGAAATATATCGCACCACGGAAGCAACTAAAAGGATGTTGGACCTGCAAAAAATGTTATATGACATCAATTTACAGAATAAAACGGCCACCTGCAAGTTTTGTAATAAAGTCATTGTTTTCAACGGTAGAGAAATGTTGAATCACCAGAAAGAACATATAGATGAGCTACGTGATAAAGACGATTCGAGCGAAATGTTAGAGATCATTGTAGACAATATTAATTCTAGCGCTTCCGAGGACTCAAAAGAAGAAGTGAAAATTGGCGAAATCGACCATGGCCAACGTAGGCATAAATTATCGCTGTACGGAAAACAACATTACATTAAACTAACTCCAGGTGGCGCTAAGGGTTATTGTCACTTGTGCAATATTTACATGTCGAGTCATATAACGGTATTTAGGCAACATACGCGAGGGTATATTCATAAGGGTCATTTGGAGTATAAAGGCCTTAAGAAAAGTACAAAGCACGAGAAACCAGATTGTAACACTAAATCACTGAAGAGCTATTTGAAATGTCTTTTTTATGCTCATTCTATAAGAACATTCTGGATAAATAAGGAATTTAGTGTGAATGCTCATAGTTTTATTCTTGTGGCCCCCGTACTAAGTAATCCTCACTATTTGAAAACTAAATGCTATGCGTGTGACGTAGAATACACGCGAGGGGAAGATGTGGAGCATTACAAAAGTATAAGACACAAGACTAATTTATTGGATGCTGAAGTACTTACATATTTGAGAGGTGAATTTATAAGAGAAGTAAGTAGATACTTAAATGACTTATTATGTATAGAATTCAATACTGTCATGACTGTAATCCTAGATGGGGTAGTCAAAGGCATTGTAGATTATCTATTATAATATATTATTTTTAATTTATTGTCATTCGTTGTGAATGTGATATGTGTTTCTTGGGGGAAGAGTCTTAATATCTTATAAATGTTATCTAATGTGGTTTTTTAAATTTCAGATTCGCAACGATATGTATCACTGTGGGTTTTGCAATCGATTATTCCCATACTGGGACAACCTGAAGCGACATCTGCGTAGTTGGCGGCATAAGGAAATGAAGAAAGACAAGATTGCGGCATCCGATTTGGCTCGAAAATGGTATAAAGAAAATGTGCTAACTGTTATTAGCACTAATCCTGACATAATGTACATGCAGTTTTTAGACTTACCGATTTTTTATTGATGCCTTCTAATTTGTCAGCGAAGTTATATTTTATTTTAATAGATAATACAGTATGTTGTCTTTTTTTTAAAGTAGATTTATTTTTATTTTTTTTTTTTATGCTGAGGCATTTTGTTTTTCCACAAAACCAATATCAAACAATGTCTTACCAACAAAAATAATCAATATCCGATAAGAACATTACGAAAATATTGATTCATAGTTATTTACTATTTCTATATCATTTGTTTATATGTTACACTACATCAGAGTACATGTTTAATGCTAGTACAAAATTGTTATTAATTAAAAAACATAAACAGAAAATTGTTTTTATTTATGGTTTTTTAAGTTATGTCTATGTACATACATTTGATCCAGGCCATCTTTACCACAGAACAGGGAGGTACTCTTAAAATATTGCATGCCTGCATATTGTTTACTTATTTATATTTACAATTAAGAGATGAGTCATCATAGATTCTTAGAACAGATTGCCACTATTTCTTTTTACCTATCTGGTGGGTACCAGAGAAATTCATTGTTTAATAGCAATTCTCATTTTAGCAATGTTCAAGATTGTACAAATAATACTTCTAATCATTTCAGTCAACTCCACAAATTAGTTTGTTTGGATATGTATAACTCACCAATTTTAGTACCCAAATCTTTGTAAACCAAACAAGTTAAATGGTGAGATAAAAATACACAAAAAGACTTGTACATAAATACAGTGACTTCTAATAGCCGAGTCGCTATTAGAACAATAATATTATTAATTTTCTCTATACTAATAGTAAAGATACTTATAACATAACACATTTAGGACTTATTTCTAAGATTCTGATGGTATGTTACTGAAATAAATGTCAAACCATTGCGGATAGTGTGATAATAATAAGATTAAGTCATTTTCAGACTTTTCATGCAATTTTCGAAGATAATTCACAGTTGCATTTATATATTGTTGTTTTAAAGGTTCAGGTAAACTAATGACATCAAAATCCATTAATAGAACTAAATGATTCAAAGTCAAAGGGTATAATGAACTTGTTGTTCCACCATTTTGTTTTTTGATATGTTTGATAAACTTTGGTACAAATATTTGTATTTGAGAATCAAAATTTGTCATAATAAATACAAAATTTAGAACGCCTGAACATATTTGAAAACAAATGGGCGATGAACACTTCTTGATTAACTCTATGATACAAGTATTATTAGAGAATATGTCCCCCACAGCAATATCTCTGTCTGTTAGTATTGTGTGACAAATATTAAGTAAAGTTTTCTCAATTTCAGGTTTCATTTTTATAGCTATATCATCAAATAATTTTATGTTAAAATCTCCAGGCAATTTACCATTCCATAAGTCTCGTATAATACACATATAATTTCCATTTCTGATATGCCAATGAATTATGTCTTTTGAGAGCATATCAAGGTAAACACCATTGTCATTTAAATTTATTAATGCTTGGATTATATCTGGGTTAAATGTGGACTCGTAAATGGGATCTATATTTAAGTCTTTGAATCTTCGTATTAAAAAGGCGTCAAGTTGTCTATCTGTGGTCTGAGCAGTACTGGATTCAAGCAAATGTTTCTCATAAAGTTCAGTCAGAGATTCCACATCGCTCTCGTCAATGTTTACATGATTTTCCGGTTCTATTTTGCACATTTTTCTTATGTTTTCAAGTATAGACAGACGTAAATTATTATTAATGTTTGAATTTTGTTCAGAAATCTTGAGAATTTTTACGAAACTTCTTGATAGAGCTCGAGATACGTTACGATCAAGTAGTGGATTTTTATATGTAAACAAAGGACACACTTCATTATTTGATTTAATTACTTTCTCTATTAGCTGATTATTCATATTATATAAAATATCTTATATGATTTATAAGTTTAATAAAACCTATAAATAATACACGAAAGTATAATGCACTTTTTTTAAATATTATTAAAAATATTCAATAGTGTTTAACAACAACAAACAATGAGCGTCAAATCGATTCTTCTATCGTCTTCAAAACATGTGATCTGTGCTCAACATTCATCTGAGAATACCTAATCTGTGTAGGATAAAAATTTTGATTGTCAACGTCAAACAAACTAGAAAATAAAATATTGCGGTTTTTTTTACTTTTAAAACATCTTCGATTTTATTTTTATTACAATCAGAGTCTTATGAAACAGAAATAGCACTGACATAAAACATCATAAAAAAATTATGTGTGTTTTTCTATGAGCATTATTCCTTCTGCCATCTATCGTGGAGTAGTGAAGTACAGTTTTGTAGGTAATATTATACGTACGATACGTACCAGATAATAGATGGCAATAGTGACACCACTGCTAACTATAATTTCTTTACATATATTTATGACACAATTTTTTTAGTAAGCAAAATATTATACAACTGGAAAGATTTTAACTTTAACAGTCTATAGCAGATACAGAATGACTTTGTTGTGGAGAAACAGAATTATTTATTTTTGGTATTCGCCTATATGCATAGATATTGCAGGCTTTTGTAAAGTAGGTAGCTACTTAAGTACCTAGATAATATTTGAAATTGATGATTCTTTTAAATAGAAAAAAAAATTCGCGTAGACAGTTAGTAAAATTTGTATAGATATGGTGAACATATTAAAGGCTGACAAATAGATTCTTCTACCCTGCACTGCCTGGAAATTGGCAACAATTAATCATGGACAACGCAAGATTAATTTCTGATGCAGGTAGTATGTACTCTTTACTAGTTGCTTTTCGTAATTATCTAAGGCGTAACTCCATACAATACTTGTCTATAAGTATTGTAGTCGGTATCTACATAGGTAGGTACCGTAAGTATAAAAACCCGTTGTTAATAAAAAATAAACTATATATAGGTATCTAAGTAATACTTACTTAAATTATAATCAATATTTTATTTATGTTTTGAACGAATATTAAAAAAAATTTTTTTTTGCATTGCATAGGTTTACTTAAATATGTCACATTTCTTCTAATACCTATTCTTAATGATATTGCTACCTTGTAATTAGCATGGTGATTAAATATTTAATATTTGATTGTATACGTATAAATAAATAAACTAATTAAATTAAGGTAAATGTATTTTTTTTATATACCTAAGTAGGTAGGCAAGCAATAAAAAAGAATCTAGGTAAGTCAGTCCATCATAATGACCAACATCTGAGAACCCATTAATACCAATAAAACACTTTTTTATTAAAATAACATACATTAAGCACTGAAAAAACAATTAGGTAGAGTAGGCACGGTCATAGAAACCTCTAACAATGGCGGGGCTCCTAATTAGAAAACTTAATTAAATTACTGCAAAACGATCTTAAATAAACAGACATTCCCAACTTCCCCTTTTATATTGCAACGTTGTTAAAATTGTTGAAATGGCCCGGCATAGGGCCTTACGTGGGGGCGAGATGGAAGTTGAGGTGTCTCGTTCACGGGCGGGGCCAGCTCATGGTATGGCCCACGTATTTAGATTCTCTCTATGTGAGGTCTTGATCGTAATTTATTAAGCGGCCCCACAAATACAAACTTTCGAAATACACCATTCAACAAATAGCTACGTGAATTATTAAGTCGTTCCAATGACTTTTTTGTCCAATCTCTTTCGGTATAACGGTGTAAATTTTTTACTAATTAAGATATCTACTAGATACTTATTACTCATGTTGATGTATGTTTTCTAATAGTTTTGTGCACGATTTACGATTGAACACTTTCGTAGAATTAGTATATTTTTTTGGAATTATTTTACGTCATTTATTTTTATAGCGCAATCGTGATGACTGAGCTATTTTAAACTATTTGTATGGACATAAGAAATTTTTGAAAGTTTAATGGTAATGCTTAAAGTGTCGGATGTTTTTATAATTTTGTACCAAAATATAAACTCGACGACTTCGTGATATCTATATTTCAACGCACCATTGCGTTGAAATATAGATATCACGAAGTCGTTAGTTAGTAATTCAAGCATCAGAATTACCTATGGTAGGTACTTACCTATAGTTACAATTATAAAATATAGATAATGTAGACAAACTGAGCCCCCAACTTTGGCACTTATTATACTTTTTCTTATTAAACTTTTTTTACATTTCATATTACAAAAAATCATTTGGAATAAAAAATAAAAAATCTATATTTTTAGTGAAGATTACAACAACACATAAGTAATACGATTAGGTGCACCAAAATATTAAGACATTACTAACATCAGTATTCCCAAATAGGTACACATTCAAACAGTCAAATATTCTAACAATAATTGTTTTTCTCATACATCTTCAATTAGGTTATCTACTAGTATTCTAATTGTATAGGTACGCTTATACGAAGCACCGATGAAGGACGATAAGATGACTTTGAGGTCAGCTAGTCCATCGTGACAGATTCATCAGAAATTAACTGTACCTAATAATTTCCAAGGAAAATCGCTTGGAAGTTGACCTGACATGGACCTGAGAAGTACCTATATATTGCTAGCAGTGGGGTCCCTATTCCCCATTACTAACAATCCCAGGTAACAACGTTGCATACCTTAAACTATAGGTAGGTACATTGTATTTATCAAAACTTTACTTAACAAAATTGGACATAAATTAGGTGCCATAAAAATAATAGGCTTGAAGATTTATTTCATTGCAATAGACAATAAATCAATAATAACTCCGTTTTGGCAATTATATTTATGTTTTTGAATTTACAATAAAATAACAAGTGAAAATACCAACAACTATTGAAAGTATAGTTAAAAATTATAACAGATAGGTAGGTATAGGTAGGTAGATATATACCTTTACAGACTTTCAATCACTTGAAAATGTTGACATTTACACATAGGAGTAGTTCCTCCGATATAAACATATTAAGTGAAAAACTAATATAAAATTTTGAAATTTCTGCGATGATGTATTAGAACAATTGTTTGGATGGAGGACAATGGAATTATGTACCTAAAAATGTTACTGCGACAACTTTAGACTTTCGGGAAAAATGGAACCAGTTGAAAAAAAATG